ACCGTGTTGACAAATGCCAGTAGGCAGTGCTGCCTCCAAGTGTTGGATGTGGTGTTGCGTGCTACAGATGGCAGTGCACAAAAGGCATCACTTCCTCCTCCTCCTCCTCCCGCTGTACGGTCCTGAAGTAATTTTTGGCCAGTGCGCAATGACTTGTCCACTAGCCAAACGCCATTCCATATCGCTGAGGTGAGAAATTTGTGGATTATCTCGCTGCTAAGGAAACATCTCATTGGTGCCTTCCCCTCACTCCTCTCTTTGTCAACCGGTCTCTTTGAGATTTCACTCTGGTTCATGTGGTTTGAAGAGCCTCCGACCTGGGTGAACTCGTGTTGCGCACTCCTCGCTCGATGTGGCAAAATTCGTGGTGGTGGTGGTTGTGGTGGTGATCAAGTGTCAGTGCCAAAGAAGGGAAGTATCGCGAATATTTACCGATGGTCCAAAATTTCTGTTTGCCATTCCAAGCATGGTTCGACTTCTAGGACTTGGTAACGATGCGATCCACCCAACTCGGACTGTAGTAGTTGTCGCTGAACAGCACTGCATTCGGCAACTCTCCCGTCTTGGCAGTGTCGTTGGGGAGGAGGTGCAAATCACATTGCGAGGTGAGTGTACTGATGGTGGCCCTTCGAAGTGTGTTTGAGTCATTCATGCATTTGGTTACCTGATGACTTACTGCCATCACCAGTGCTATACTCCAAACCACTGCCACGTTTCAAATAGGGTCGAAGGTCAGGGCACCACTAGGAGCAGCACAACATCTGCCGCGACTCGCGTGATGCGTAAATTGGCGCCCCAAACAGATGTCTTCTGACCGAGCCTTGTCATCACATCACCAAATATGCACAAACACACACAGTTTGGTGGCTAAAGTGTTGGTAGAGAGAGGTGGTCCTTTGATGCAAATTTAGTCAGCCCCATCCATGGCCCCGCCTCCCTCAGCCGAGAGCACACAGTACTTGCAGCGAAACACCTCCTCTCCTCGCTCCTCCTCCCACATTCTCCCCACTAAAATGTCCCTTCACATTCCTCCCCACACTATCCAAGAGACCTTTTTGTCAGTGTGGCACACAGGATTAGCAAAAGGACTTTGCTTGCAAGGCGAGGACCGGTCATTTGAATGAGGACAAACATTGCACTCCACACCCTATCAGCTGCGCGCTGTTGCTCCCGTGTAACCACACTGGTCACCTGCTCCTGCATTAACGTGCATCCCATGAAGCTCTTCTACACTGCTAAGGAGGAGGCCTTGAAACTGACATCAATAGTCGCTATACGGTGACGTCAGGACTTTGGACATTCGCTTCCCACCGATCAGTGCCGGCCACAGCTGCCTTCCTATCCATCCAAATGCCTATATCGACATGGAAGTAGTTTTCAGACACAAAATATTGAACAGGAGCGTCTAGGCATATAAAGCTGATAACGATGGCATCGTCGGTGGCGGTGATAATGATGGCTGTTATTGCTGTTGTTGTTGTTATTGTGGTGGTGGTGGTGGTGATGGTGGTGGTGGTGGTTGGCAATATTTCGTCAAGGGTTTATTCGCAAAAGCTTGACAATGTCAGCTTGATGTCTTTCATCCACCACAATGTGGCGTAGTCGGTCACACGCCTGCGTGTACGATGAATGAATTTGACGCAACTGCTACAACTTGGCTACCAGCATTAATTGCCGAGCGCATGCTCTGGTGCCTTGATGCTCTCCAAACCTCCCAATCAAACATCAATCAGTATCCTCTTCTTCGGGTCCACATTCGGCGGTGCTGGTGCCACAACACACAGGACTGAATGATGGAAGGTTTTGATGCAGCTACTGCCAAACACAGTGTAGCACGAAGGAAGTGCGGAAAAAGGCAGCATCACAATGAATGAATGAATGAATGGATGGGTGAATGGGTGAATGGTGGGCAAGAATGAGACGTGGCTTGTACGTCATTGTGCGTGACAGCAAAGCGTCGTTTCACTGTGCTACTGCGTTTAGTAGCAGCAGCAGTGCAAACCGCAGTGTAAACCGCTTTGACATAGCAACGTCCTTCACTCCTTTTTGAAGAGTATGTCAAGTACCACCACAGCCGCCGAGAGATTGTGCCATGCATCCAACTCTTTGCAGTGCTCGCGAGTTCTCCACATCTTCCTTCACTTATCAACGGCAGAACGCAACAGCATCACTGAGCCGCACAAAATTTGTCTGGTGCTCATGTGGATCGCGTTTGGTGGCTCAAATGGCCGATTGTAGACGTCCTCCTTATCCCCTTACTTCCGCACACTGAAGGCTTCGTGTGCTCGGAGTTCTGTCGTCTAGTGCTTCCACCTGCGGATCTGGAGCACTTGGTGGATGGAGGTAGTAAATTGACGTTACCTGGGAAAGCGAAGTAGACGTCTTCTGCATTACAAATTATGGATCAGCAAGAGGTGTGGTGTGAGTGCACGGTGTCAGTCATTGTGTTACGCGCATTGGAGTCAACGTGAGCCTTGTCTTTGTGGCATTTTGGCCGCACGAGTGAGTGGTGTGCACTCGGAGTGGACAAAATTAGCTTGAGGTCTTCAATATCTCCTCCCTCATCTTTGCCTGCAATGAAGGCACCAGCAATTTGAGTTACTGCATTTTGCACTTCCAAACTCCCACCTCCATAGGCGAGTCATGTAGTCGGTGGCACAGGAGCTGTTCGATGCAAGCAGTGCATCGACCACACTTTGGTGTCTCAGTCGATACTTGTCATGGAGTGTATCATGCACAAGTTGCAATGCCTTCAAAGGGAGACGAGTTGCATTGTCGTTTCCTCATCCTCCTCCTCCTCCTCCTCCTCCTCCTCCTCCGTGGAGGCGAAGCAAACAGTGGAGAGGGTGGAAGATGTGAGAGGAGGAAAAGAGTGCACACACCTCCCCAATCACATCTCTTTCACTCCATCTGTCCAACCCTCCGCCCACTACTTTCCTGACAAATCGACTGCAAATGTATTCTTTCCTACCACCTACGTCTGCACATCTGCCTATAGGCAGCCACATTGTGAGGGCATTAAACCTGCTGATTCTTTTGAGTTGGACGAGATGCTGCCACACGCGTGAAGC